TTAGGTCTTGTTCAGTGATGCGAGGTTAATACAATATTTTAATACCAAAGGATTTTACCGTGTTAACAGAACAAAGGAGGAAATCATTTAATTGTTTTTGTGGAAGCAGAAATAGGTTCTGTTAAAATTCAATATTCATGCATAATAAAAATGTTTAACAAACCAGGAAATAAAGGGAACTTTCTTAAGCCAGTAAAGGGTGACAACCAAAAAACCTACAGCAAATGTTTTATTTAATAGTGAGATGTTGAAAGCTTTCCTTTCGAAATCAGGACAAAGACTAAGACGTGTTACCGTTGACTCTACACACCATTGAACTAGAGGCTTTAAGGCAAGAAAAAGCAAAAGGTACTAGGATTAGAAAGGAAGAAATAAAAACTTGGTACTTATAGAGAATGTGATTGATTATGCAGAAAATCCAAAAGAATCTGTAGATACGTTGTTAGAAAGGGATTTTGGAAGGTGGCCAGTATAGAAGAATCATTAAAAATTAAGAAGAAAAAATATCAATGACAGTTAGAAAATTTTTAAAAAAATGTAAAGGATAGTATTTATGTTCGGCCGATGTGGCTCCATGGTTGAGGGTCTGACCCATGCACAATATCACATATAAGCTATCTACACAGAAAAGTATGCAAATTATTGGAGAAATGAATGAAAATCGAGGTAAGGGCGGAATACCCATGTTCGTATCTTGGTAGCCTGAATATCATAAATATGTCACCTCTCTCAAAACTGATCTGTAGATTCAATGCCTTTGTAACCAAATTCGTAAGAGGTGGCGCTTGATCAACTTACTCTAAAATATGTCCAGAAAAGCCCTGGCCAGTTTGGCTCAGCGGTTAGAGTGTCGACCTGCAGTCCTGAGAGGCCCGGGTTCGGTTTCCACTAAGGGCATGTACCTCGGTTGCAGTTTGTCCCCGGCTCTGGTTGGTTGTGCGGGTGGCAGCCACTCGATGTGTCCCTTTCACATCAATGTTTCTCTCTCTCTCTCTCTCTCTCTCTCTGTTCCTGTCTCTCCCTCCCACTCAACCAGAACAAAAGGGGGAAAATGTCCTCGGGTGAGGATAAAATAAATAAATAAAATAAAAATAAAATAAAATAAAATAAAATATGTCCAGAAAAAACAGTCAAGTTTAGCTCAGCACCCTTGCAGGGACAGGGTGACTTGGGAGGTTCAATTGTACTAAATAACAAAAGCTGTGATGGAGCTAAGTCATGGAGACTGGGTGGTGTTGGGGCAAAGACAGAGAGAAAGAGGTTAGGACAAAGGGGGTCCGGAAACAGACGCACACGTGTACGGGAGCTTGGTTAATGACACAGGAGGAAATAAATGGTTTAGGGGACCATCAGATATCCACATGTCCGGAGGAAAAATCGAAACTTGACCTTCATGCCATAAACCAGAGTCACTTCCAGTTGGATCGCGCATCTAAATGTCATTTGAATAGATCATGAGCTTCGGGAAGACAACAGCCTTCCTCAGCTTCTAGCAGTCCTCATATTCTTCCGCCTGTTCCTCGTGTCACCCACCCGTTACTTCCACAGTCACGTCTCCTCCTCCGACCCGCCTGCCCCTGCCGACAAGGACCCCGTGGTGACACAGGGCCGTGCGGAGAACCCAGGGGAACCTCCCATCTCAGGACCCTTCCCCTGACCATGGCTGCAAGGTCCCTGTGGTCACGGGAGGCCACACTCCCAGGTCCCAGGGGTTATGAGGTGGACATGTGTGGGGCTGTTTTTCAGCCCATCCACGGAGGACATGGTCAGTGGGGATGAGGCAGGCGCAGGGAGCCTGGGAGAGGGTCCAGGTGCAGGGAGCAGTTTGTACAAAGTGGGGGACTGGAGAGGGGACTGGAGAGCAGCAGTGGGTCCCCAGAGGCCTGGTGACCAGGGCCTAGGGCAGGGCAGCCATCCGGGCTCTGAGTGGGGGGCACATCCGAGTGTCCTGCTGCCTGCAGGATGGTGGGGCTGTAGGCAGGACCCTGTCTATGGACACAGAGCTGAGGCAGATGTGGGCAGGTGGGCCTCCAGCCCCGGTTGCCCGCATGGCTCAAGGCCAGGGCAGCGATGCCAGGTGCCCCTGCCGAGTCCCTCAAATAGAACCCCTTCCAGAGTTGCCGTCATGGGTCATCCTGCTGTGGACTCACCCCGAGGCGCCGGGGGGAGGGGCTCTGGAAGGATGATGCTGTGACCTCAGCCGGCTGCTCACAGGACGGTCCTGGAGATCCCAGCCTGCCCCGCGCCAGCGGATGTTTGCGCTGCCACAGCTGTGGCCACAGCTGTCCGCCCCAGCCCAGCCCTGCTGCCCTGGAGGCCAGCCACCCGCTCCGTGTGACCCCCGGCCTTCTGGCTGGACTCAGTGTTCGCCTCTGTCCTCTGGGGCGTTGGGCCTGGGAACCGGGAGGCCCTTCCAGGCCCTGACTGTGCAAGCTCCAGGTGCCCGTGGAGGGGCCCTGAGGCCGAAGCGGGGTGCTTCTCCCTGCAGGTGCTGCCTAGTGAGCACCCATGGACAGCTTCCAGCACAGGCAGGGTGGGGCGGCCGTGAGCCCAGCCACGGGTGGTGGGGTGCGGTGTTGACAGCTCCGCAGGGTTGCACAATGGTCGCAGCTGGGCTCCGGAAAACTTGTTTTTCTCCGAGCACAGCTGGAGGAGCAGCTGGAGACAAGCTCTGGAGCCAGCGCTGGGGCGTCCGGCTGCCGGCTGGCAGAGGACGGGCCTCGGCGCCCGCGGAGCCACCTCCAGCTCCGCAGCCCCATCGTTGGGCAAGAGGCCCCTCCTCCTGGGGGCAACCGCTGGCCTCCCTGGATACAGAGGGGCAGGGCTGAGACCACCGCCCAGGCCCTGCTCACTCCCAAGTCTAGACACCCCCACATCCCACCTCCCATTTCCCACGTGGACCACCTGAGGCCGAGAGGTGGTGACGATGGTCACCAAGGGGCTGGGGGCAGGGGGTGATGATGATGATCACTGGGGGGCTCGTGGCAGGGGGTGATGACAAAGGTCACCACGGGCTGGGGGCAGGGGTGATGATGATGATCACTGGGGGGCTCGTGGCAGGGGGTGATGACAAAGGTCACCACGGGCTGGGGGCAGGGGGTGATGATGATGGTCACCAAGGGGCTGGGGGCAGGGGGTGATGATGATGGTCACTGGGGGGCTGGGGGCAGGGGGTGATGATCACTGGGGGGCTGGGGGCAGGGGGTGATGATGATGATCACTGGGGGGCTGGGGGCAGGGGGTGATGACAATGGTCACCACGGGCTGGGGGCAGGGGTGATGATGATGGTCATGCAGGGGGCCCGAGGATGTGATGTTTTGGGCACTTTTGGGGCCAGATCCTGAGTCAGGAATCTTCTCTGTGACATTTAGTTTGGCATTTACTGTGGCAAAGTGGGCACCTTCGTGCCTGCAGAGAGGAGAGGGGTCTCAGCCCGCTCCCCTCCTCACCGCCCCCGCGTCTGCCCCCGCCCCTGCTGAGACCTCAGGGTGAAGGGTTCATAAATCCTCGACATGCCCAGCGATGGGCGCCAGGCAGCCAGGCCGCGCCCCGGAAGTGCCTGAGCTGCTGGCCCTGGCTGGGCGGGGCTGGGCTTCCGAATGCCTCTGCCCACTGTCTCTCGATCTGGCAGCAGGGGCTGCTGTGCCGCCCGGCAGCCCCTCCCGGCCCCTCTGAGCCACCTGCAGCTGCAAGGGACAGTTCTGGGCCCGCTGTCGCACTGGGCCCGGTGCCCTGGGGACAGTGGGGAGGAGGGGTCTGCGTGAACTCCCCGGTCTCCCTCCTGCGTGAACTCCTCGGGCACCCCATGGCCCCAGAGGCCACCAGCTTGATGCCACGTCCCCAGATGGCCTTTCTCTCCTCACCTCAGTGCCATGGACTGAATTATTCCCCCCACCCCACCCCAAATCCACATGCTGAAGCCGGAACCCCCAACAGGCTGGTGTGTGGAGCGGGGGTCTTTGCAGGTGAGTGGGGTTGGATGAAGGGGGGGCCTTCATGACGAGATCGCTGCCCCGTCAGGAGCCACGGCCACTCGCTCCCTCCAGCCCCCACGGTGTGGACTGTGGACACAGCACGGCGGGCGAGCCCGCTGCAGCCGGGAACCAGGGGGCCTGACCCTCTCAGAGGCCTGGCCCTGGGCAAGTTCCTGCCTGCTCCCTGCTCCCTGCTCCAGCTTGCCGCTTCGAGCCCAGGCCCACACTGGCCTTGCCTGGAGCCCTCGGGCAGGGCACGGGCCTCTGCGCACCTGGGGGCCTCTGCGCACCTGGCCAGGTGACCGGTGGGGGTTGGGAGTGTCCTGCAGCCCACCCCCCCACCCCCAGAAGCGCCTGTGCGGCCGAGGGGTGTGGTGGGGGGCTCAGCTCACCCGGTCACCCAGGCCTGGGGACTGCAAAACAAGTGGTGGTGACCCAGACGGCGGCACCTGCATCGGCTGCTTGTGACACTTCCTGGTCCTTTGAAAGGTGCTCAGGGTGGCATTTCCACCCGGCTGACCGGTGCACGCAGCCGCCCCGCCCAGTCTCCAGGGCCTCCTCCGGGATTCCCACAGGGCCCCCTGAGTCCACCTCCTAAGACCAGCCCCACGTGGGGTCATTTAAATCCGGACCGGTCAAATCCCAGGCTCGAAACTCTGCAGCCCACCCCCACCCCGACCCCCCAACCTGCTTCATCTCTTTCTGCCTGTTTCCCGTCAGGCTGGTTTGGGTGACAGAACTTTGTCACCCGCTGGGCCCACACAGCACGGCAGGGACCCTGTCAGCCAGCCACCTTGCCAGGTGCACGGCCACCTGCCAGGGGGCAGCGGTCTCTGTCCCTCCGGCACCGGGCAGACACCAAGGCAGGGCGTCTTGCCCTTGACCGCAGGGACTCGAGTGGCTGGGTGATACCCTTGCCAAGTGGTGCTGGCTCAGGGTCCCCGGAGACGCAGTGGCCGGCGGGCAGGGGTGCCCGAGTGCCCCGCTGACTGAGGATGTGTGCTTGTAAACTTTAATTTCTGTACAGTAGAAAACACAATGCAAGCGGTGTGGGGTCGGCCGCACAGCGAAGCTCACAGACGCACCTGGAAGGTGCTCCCGCCGAGGGGGCCGCTGGCCGCTCAGGGCCCTCGGGGTGTCTCTCCACACAGAACAGCTCAGCGCTCAGTCCTCGCAGCCCCCTCCCGCCCTGTGGGGCCCTCCAGGAGGACAAGCGGCCGCCCACAGCCTCTCCCGCCAGGGGAGGGGGCCTCACCGCCAGCCACACGGCTCTGCGGGGCAGCCAGGGGATGTCCCTTCAGGGGCTGCTCCAGGCCAGCCCACCACCCTGGTCCTGACGGGACGCCCGTCTGGCGGGCAGACAGCCCTGAGGTGAGTGGGGTGGGGGCAGGAGCAGGTGGGCAGCTTAGACAGAGGTATGAGGTGCAAACGCAGACGGGGAGAGAGGGTGGACTTTGGGGACCACGGAGGAGTCTTCCCGTGGGTCAGAGTCATACGTTGCTTGGGGACTCGGCAGGCGGCCCTCCGGAGCACTTGTACGAGGGGACACCGGCGGCCCCCCAGGCACCATGATGCAGGAGCTCCTACTCCCTGAGGCTGAGATCTGGAACCCTGGCCAAGCCTGGGGCCCTGTCCCTGGACGGCCGGGAGGAGGCCGCTGGCTCTGCTGAGGACCGACCGCGGTCCTTCGTCCTGACCCCGCGGAGGCAGAGGGCCCGAGGGGCCTGGGCTGGCACCTGTCTTCGGCCGGGCTGCAGGCTCTGGCGCTGGGCGCTGGGGGAGGGGCCCCGGCCTCACAGGACCACCTCGGGCGCGATGTTAAACAGGAGGTCGTCATTGCCCCGCCGCACCTCCAGCAGCAGGGGCGACTCGGTCAGCACGGCCTCCTGCAGCTCACTGGAGTCGGCCAGGGGACGCCCGTTGACCTTGACGATGATGTCGCCATCCTGAATACCCCCCCTGCCAACAGAAGAGACACATGGTCACCCACAGCCCCGCCCGGCCTGGGCCCCGTCAGGCACAGGAGGAGTTAACTATGCCAGTTAAGAAAAACCATTTCAGCTCTGGCCAGTTTTCTCAGCGGTGAGAGCGCTGGCCCGAGGACCAGAGCGTCTCGGGTTCGATTCCCATCAAGGGCACATACTTCAGTTGCAGTAGGATCCCCGCACCCGTTAGGCTCGTGTGGGAGGCAAGCAGTCGATGTGTCCCTGTCACGTCGATGTTTCTCTCTCTCTCCCCCTCTCTATCTGAGAATCAGTGGAAAACGTCCTCGGGCGAGGGTTACAGGAAAACCAGCAGGCGAGGTCAGTGCCCTGACGGCAAGGCCCCTCCCTGAGCAAGGCGGACATGTGCCCCTTCCCCACTCGGAAGGGCGGCAGGCTCCCTGGCCGGTGCGTGGGCAGGTGCTCTGCCCCTCTGGGCCTCGGGGAGGACGTCTGCGGTCCTGTGTGGAAACGGGCTTTGCAGCGACAGCGAGGTCCAGGGAGCTGATCCAACGCTGTCAGTTATGAGAGGTCGGCACAGAGGCAGAGCTCACTGGGCTGGCCCCCCTTCTGCACTCGGCTGCCGTGACCTTCCCCCGCACCGGAGGGCGGGCAGGCTGGTGCGGGGGTTCGACGTCTGGCCGGTCGTACCGGCTCTGTGACCTTGGAGGGTCCCTTCGCTAAGCCTCAGTCTCCCTGTCCGAGAAACGGGGTGAGAGCAGCGTCCTGCACCACCCGGGCTGCTGCGAGGAGAAACTAAGACGGAGCGTGTGGAAGGCCCAGCTCACGCCGCAGCCACGGTCACCACCCGACTGCCTCCCCAGCCCTCGGGGTGGCCGGCACGTGGCCACTGCCAGCCACTGCCCTGCCGCGTTCAGCGGAGCAGAGCGGCCTGGGTGAACAGCCGGGGTTTGGGGGGCTCCCCTCGGCTTCAGGGTCTGCATTTGGATGGTTTTCCTTCGGGCATGCTGGGGGCCGGGTTCGAGTGCTCCGTGTTCGCCACAGAGAACAGCAGGGCCGCAGGGGTGGGGCCTGTCTGCCTGGCTCCTCTCCACTCCCCGCCCGCCCGCAGCCCTCAGAGCAGCCCCAAGCCCCCCGGGGAGGACAGCTGAGCACCCCGATCTGAGGCAGCCCCACGGATCCCAGGGAGGGGAAGGGCCCTCTCAGAGCCCTCCCAGGGGCCTGGACCACGTCAGTGTGGAGTGACCACCGCAGGCCGCCTCGGCCATGGTGTCGCAACGTTCAACCTTGGTCTAGTACTTGACGGGTGGGGGGTTAGGCTGGAGCACGTCCGTTTCACAGATGAGGAAACAGACTGACCTGGGCCAGCCACCGGGCTAGGGAGTCAGGCTGGTTCCCAGAGGACAGGGACTTTCAGGCCGCGGAAGGACAGGCCAGCGCTCCAAGGGCTGCGTGGTCTCCAGCCCGCCCGTGGCTCCCAGGACAGGCCGGAGCCCCCGGCCACCTCCGCAGCTCGGCTTTCGAGGAGGCGCCAGGCCAGTGAAGCAGGCTCAGCCCCGCGGGGTGTCTGCCCGCCCCCCATCCAGCCTCCCACTTCCTCCCCGGAAGCCTACCTCTGAGAGGGGGAATTCGGAACAACCTCCTGCACGTAAATCCCGCTGCTGACCTCCGGGAGGTCCGGGTTGTTGGCCCTCAGCTCTTCCATCAGACTGAAACGACAGTGCACTGTCCCTCCAGGGGACAAAGCCGCCCTCCCCTTACCACCCCGCCGGACAACGGGCCCCTCTGGGCTCCCACCGACCTCTCTGGGGTGTCACTGACTCTTGTCTGTGTCCCCCACTCCACACGACTCCTCCACAGAAACCTTAGTGAAGTGATGGTGGGAGGTGTGGACAGAGGAGGGTGGTGGACAGACGGGAGGGGGAGGGGGGTGACAGAACGGAGGGAAAGGGGGAAGGACAGATGATCAGAGGGATGGAAGGAAGGACAAGTGATCGATGGAAGTGGGTGGACGGTGGGATGACAGACAGAAGCCTGAGCGGGCGGTGGGATGGATGGACAGACAGAGATGAAAGACGGAGGGGGAGGGGAATAGAAGGAATGACGTGTACGTGGAGACGGAAGGAGGGATGATGGTAAGGCGGGGGGTGGACAGACAGGAGACTGGCCAGTGTTGTGGTTCAGATGATGGATGAGAGCAAGAAAGAACATAAAAAAGAGAAGTCGGCACATTGGTCTTGACTACAAACTCCTCAGAGCCAGGCCCGGGGCTGGGACCATGACGGATGCAGCGGGCAGACCCGTCAGACACTCACCTGGGTGTGATGGTCCTCATCCGAATGCCAATGAAGCGCTTCTTCCAGTCTGGAGACAGAACAGGACAGGACTGGGTTAGAGCCACCAGGAGGGGCTGGCCGAGTGGGTGGGGCCGCAATTCGCCCAGAGAGCAGGAGCCCCAGAGGAGAGGCGTCCTGTCCTGCGGCCGGCCCCAGCGCTCAGCCCAGAGCCCCCTCGCCTCGCTACTCCCGAGGCCGGGAGACGCCTGGCTCAGCCATCTGGCTTCACACCTCGCTTGCGGGCTGGGTGCAGGGTCTCTTATGAGCCACACAAAAACCAATCTTATTTGTGCGTTCCAGTAACAAGCAGGAATTGAAATCTGAAAGAATAGACCATTTATGAGAGCCTCAAAATCGGAGACATCTAGGAATAACACTGATGAAAGACGTGTGAGAGCCACACTCGGGAACCAGAAAACATCCGAAAGGCCACGGACACGGGAGGCAGGCTGGCTGGTGGGTCGGGAGACGCGGCGTGGTGACGGTGCCAGTCCTCCCAAATCCACTCGAGATGCAGCCCAGCCCGGGTCAGACTGTCAGGAGGGTGTCGGGGGTGGGAACTGACAGGCTGGTTCTAAAATCCACGGAAACCAGAGGATTAGAACCGAAACAGCCGGGAAGAAGGACCCGGCGGGGCTGATGCTGCCTGACTGCGGGACTCGTGGTCCCCAGGACAGCGCGGCTGGTGCGGGGACAGACAGGTGGCACAGACTGGGCTTGTTATTGTGGACAGAGTGGCGAAGGCAGTTCCCTGGAGAAGGGACACTCTCTTCCACAGATGAGGGACGACTGAACAGCCAAAGCAAAAAAATAAGTAAAAATGTGGATGCACACTTTGCACTATTTTTAAAAAATTAGTTCAGGATGCATCCTAGTCCGAATGTGAGACCTCAGAGGGTAAAAGTGCTAGGAGAACGTCTTCCCGGCCGGCCGTTAGCAAAGCTCCAGACACAAGCACAGCCCCATTAAAACACGGGGCAGATCAAACCTGATCGAAAGGTACGAAACTACTCGACAAAGACAGTGAAGAGGAGGAGGAGACAGCCACCGGCCAGAGGAACCATCTGCCTTCATTTATCTGCTCAAGGGCTCTTATCCGGGATGTGTAAGGAACCCTCCAAGCTTCCTAAGAATACAAACAACCCCAATTTTGCAAATGGACAAATATTTAAACAGACGTGTCATCAGAGAAGATTCGAGGTGGCCTCTGAGGTCGGGAGGGCACGAGGCCTGGCCGAGGGCCTGGTGGGCCAGGGGGCCTGCGGTGTCCACCCCAGCGAGGTGGAACCAGCAGAGACCTGAGAGTTCTCCTAGAATTGAAAGGGGCGCTGGGGCTGGGGGAGGGGCTGCAGGGGGAGGGGCTGCTGGGGGAGGGGCTGTGGGGGAGGGTCTATGGGGAGGGGCTGTGGGGGAAGGAGCTGGGGAGGGTCTGCAGGGGGAGGGTGTGGGGGAGGCTCTGTAGGGGGAGGAGCTGGGGGAGGGTCTGTAGGGGGAGGGGCTGCTGGGGGAAGGTCTGTGGGGGAGGGTCTATGGGGGGAGGGCCTGAGGGAGGGGCTGTGGGGGGAGGGGCTGCTGGGGGAGGGGCAGTGAGAGGAGGCCATCACCCAGGTGAGCAGGTGGGGCTGGAGGCCACAGGGCTGGTGCAGGGGGCCAGGCTGCTGGTGAGGCCGGCAGGGCTGGGGGCTGGGGGCTGGGGGCTGGGGGCTGGGTGCAGGTGTGGGATACACGAAGGACAGAGCTGTAACTGTAACAGGTGCACAGGGAGCGGGGCTGCCCCCAAGCAGCTGTCTATCCATCGGAAGCTTGGGGAGAGGGCCTGGCTGGAGGGGTACATGTCAGGAGTCACTGTCCAGATGGCATTTAAATTCATGACACTGGATGACGTCCTCAGAGGAAAGGGAAAAGCCCCCAGCATGGAGGCCTCGGCCTCTGGTCAGCCTCCTCTAACCCCAAGGTGATGCCTGGAAAGAGGAGACACCTGTGCGTCCTGTGCTCCGGCATGAGCAGCGCCGTGGCGGGCAGAAGGCAGCCCGGGTCCCCTCTGAAGCCAGCACCTCATATTTGAGTCCTTGGGCGGGAGAACCCCCTCCCGCCCCCAGCCAGCAGGCCCAGCCTCCCGGGGCTGTCCGGACACACGGCCGGTGGGGCCAGCGGGCAGCCTGGTGGAATTTCTAGGTGAGCGGACTCTTGACCATCAGCCCTGCGCCTTTAACGGAAAAGCACCTTCGTGACGCGCCTGGAAACAGGTGCAGGGGGTCGGAGTCCTGACCTACGTCTTTCTGAACATGGCCTGGGCCGCTTTGGACCCGAGGTGAGGCAGGCACACGGGTGTGGGTGATGGACACCGCTCGGTGGGGAGCAGCTCAGGGAAGGCCAGAGGTCAGGGGTGAGAGGGAGGGGCTGCTGCACGACCCGCCCAGTGACTGCACTGGAGGCCGAGCTCAGCACGGCTCCTGGTGGGCCGTGACCCTCCCCTCAGTAAAATCCAAAACCAGAGAGACGCTGAGCCTGGCTGCCCCTCCCCCACCCGTCTCCCAGGCCTCCAGGGTCACTGCTGTGACATAATAGCACACACCTGTAGCCCCGTGGCCCCTCCAGAGGGAATCTCAGGGGCCGAGGCCTGGCGTGCCTGCGTGGAGCCTGTGGCACGGAGCAGACACGCAGACACTCGTGCTGTGGTGGCCACGGAACCTAGGCCCCGCCCCTCTGCAGATAGAGAGCTGAGGTGGTACATCCAGCCAAGGGGCCAGCAAGGAGCCTAGATGGGGCTCAGGGTTCCAGGGCGCTAACCTCTGACACCCCGAAGAAGGGACAGCAGGAGGGGCGGCCAGCAGGGCCCCACGCCGCCCCGCTCCTGCCTTCTCCGCTTCCTGGAAGGGTTCAGGACTCGGACATGTGAACTTTGGCCCCGGCACGTGCTCTGACCCCTCGTCCCGGTGCCCCCCCACCGCCCTGCAGCTCCCTCGAGACATTTCCCGCATTTCCCACTCCCCAGGCCGGGGTGACTACCGTGCAGCCGTCTCCTGCAGCTCACGGAGGGGCAGGCACCCCTAACTCCCATGGGTGCACTCTCGTCCTAAGGCTGGCTGAACCCCCAGACCCTCCTAGGGCCCTAGGCCCAGACAACTGCATAGCCCCCAAACCAGCATGGTGGTCCCTCTCACCTTGAAAGTCCCCAGTGACTTCTGTACCCCAACCCCTAGATGGGAACAAGAAGTGAACCTTAACTAACCTGATTATTATTTATTTATTTATTCATTTATTCATTTTTCATTCCTCACCCGAGGACATTTTTCTACTCACTATCAGATGCAGTGGGAGGGAGGGAGGGAGAGAGAGACAGAGAGAAACACGGATGTGATAGAGCTACATCGACTGGTTGCCCCCCGCACGACCCCACTGGGGCTGAGCACCAACCACAACCGAAGTACGTGCCCTCGATCAGAATCGCACCCACAACTCATTGGCTGAGCTAAACCGGCCAGGGCTTAACTAACCTGATTTAATAAAAAAAAAAAAAAAAGATGGTTCGTTTTAAAGAACTTTAGATTAACTGGGTTTGGATCATTTGATGTTTTTATTAAAAAAAAAAAAAAAAAGCAAAAGTGAGCACCAGAGGATTTTAAATGATAGATCCAGTCATTTAACTACGGTATATTGGGCTCTTCGTGTCCTGGGGGACAGCTCTGGGGACAAGGGCGTGTTTGCTGGGTCTGGGTGGAGGTCAGTGCTGACAGGGACAGTCCCCGTACGACAAAGGAGGGGCCCCTGCGAGAGGAGGTGGACAGGCCAGGGGAGAGAGGATGCTGTCACCCCATTTCCAAGAGAAGCCGCTCCCAGCTCACCCTGTGCAAAGAGCAGTCCTACCAGCTTCAGGAGGGTGGCCAGAGGCAAAGGCACCCCCGGAACAGAAGATAACGACACAGAAAAGGCCCAGCTGTTGGAGGAAGAACCCAGGCCATGACGGCTACAAGGAGCAGCCCTAGGAAAAGGGGCTCAAGAGGTCACAGGGTCCCTTGGACCAGGAGAAGCCTTCAGCTCCCTCTCTGCCCCGGGCAGGCTGTCATCACATAAGGAACACCGATGGGCCAAACGGAGTCCTCAAGAGCAGTTCTTCACGGGACCAGCCCTCGCGGCACTGGTCTGGGCTGCAGCGGCTCTGTGTGCCTGGCTGGCAGAGTGGTGGAGGGGGGCAAGCACGCGGGAGCCCCTGCTCTCAGTGAGCCGCTGCTGAGAGGGCTGGGAGGAGACAGGGAAGCAATGGAGGTGTGAGCTGAGTTGGGTGTGGCCAGACTGGCAAGGAGGTGGGCATGAAGACCAACTGGCAGGAGGGGGAAGTTCCCTTGGGCTGAAGAGAAAGGTGGGAAGGTAGAGGTCACCAGGAAAGATGCTGAGACCAGAAGTGTGACCCTCCTCTGGACACTGGCTGTGGCCACCGACTTTAAGAAGGCGATTAGCAAGTCCTCATGACAAAGAGTCATCTGTTCCTGTCCAGGCCTCTCCCAGATGGATGCTTATGGCCATCCATGAGCGGGCAGGGTGGGCTGGACATCCTGTGTGGATGGGGGTGAGGAGGTGAAGGCTGAGAGGAGGGTGACTTCCAGGGACCAGGGGCTTGGGCTCTACTCTCCTAGAGTGCAGATTACCCAAGGCCGGGGCAGAAAGAGGAGGTATTTATGGACAGGCGGATGGATGGTAGGAAGAGTGGATGAATGGATGGTGGATGGATGGATAGTGGCTGGCTGGTTGGCTGGCTGGATGGTGGATGGATGAATGGATGGTGGATGGATGAATGGATGGATGGATGGTGGATGGATGAATGGATGGATGGATGATGGATGGATGGATGGATGGATGGTGGATGGATGAATGGATGAATGGATGGATGGATGGATGGTGGATGGATGAATGGATGGATGGATGGTGGATGGATGAATGGATGGATGGATGGATAAATGGATGAATAGATGGATAGATGAATATGTGGATGAATGAATGGATGGATGGTGGATGGAAGGTGGATGGATGGATGGATGGATGGATGGGTGGATGAATGGATGGTGGATGGATGGGTGGATGGTGGATGGATGAGTGGATGGTGGATGGATGAATGGTGGATGGATGGATGGATGGGTGGATGAATGAATGGTGGATGGACGGATGGATGGATGATGGATGGATGAATGGTGGATGGATGGTGGATGGATGGTGGATGGATGGATGGATGGGTGGATGAATGGATGGTGGATGGATGGATGGATGGATGGTGGATGGATGGATGGATGAATGGATGGTGGATGGACGGATGGATGGATGGTGGATGGATGAATGGTGGATGGATGGATGGTGGATGGATGAATGGATGGATGGATGGATGGATAAATGGATGAATAGATGGATGGATGAATATGTGGATGAATGAATGGATGGATGGTGGATGGATGGTGGATGTTTGGATGGGTGGATGAATGGATGGTGGATGGATGAATGGATGGATGGTGGATGGAGGAATGGTGGATGGATGGATGGATGAATAGGTGGATGGAAGGAAGGAAGGAAAGAAGGAAGGAAGGAAGGAAGGAAGGAAGGAAGGAAGGAAGGAAGGAAGGAAGGAAGGAAGAAGGACCAAGTTCTGACAACTATGGAGGAGCTCTGACACAGGGAACCCAAGCAGTTGGAGGTGGGAGGTGAGGTCGGAAATCCCCAGCCAGTCTGGAGTGGGGAGTGAACATGGCCATGGTGTGAAAAGTGGGGAGGAAGATCTGGGAGAGGCTGAGGTTCAAGACCTGGGGCCAGTCGGAAGTGAGCAGGGGCACATAGCACTGAAGGACAGGCTGGCCCCTGCTGGAGGCTGCGGGGCCCGAGCCCTGGCAGGGTGCCTGGCCTCTGCCCGCCCCTGGGGTGCTCTCTACCTTTGACGTTCTTGTCCTGGAACTCTGTGAGGAAGCGTGCGATGCGGTCCGAGGGGATGGCGAAGGAGATGCCCGCTGCGACCTTGAGCGTGTTGATGCCGATGACCTCCCCGTCCTGGGTGCAGGGAGATGAGAGCGGGCGGTCACTCTGGGACCAAGCGACCGTGCCCTCAACTGCGCAGCACCATGTCCAGGGCGCCAGAGCTGGTCTGGCCATCAGTGCCCTGCCTGAGGCGTTCCTGGGGCACCCCAGAAGCTGTCCCGGAAGGGCGCTCTTGGGCTTACACCTGGGTCAGGGACCCCCAACTCTCCCACTGTTTTTCTCCTCATCTGATCCCTCCTCCCTCCCTGGAGCATGTTGGCTTCCCCTTGGGAGTAGCACCCACCGACCTGGACAACCCCAGGCAGTTCTGAGGGGCTGGAAGAGGGATGTGATGAAGACTGTGGGACTGGGTCCTCCTCTGTCCCTTCCTCTGGAAGCAGGGTGGGGGCGAGTGGGGCCGGCGAAGCTCTGAGCATCCCCCACTCTCTCTCCCCTCCACGCGGAGCTGGCCTCACCTGCCCCTGCCAGGATCCCCCCTGGCCACCAGGGACTGCACATTCCTGGGAGGGTCCTCCCCACAGCCTGGCACACTCCCCCAGGACCAGCGTCCCTGCCCACCACTGGGGTGACATCCTGGCTAGCTCTCCAGGGAAAGAACTCGGATCACCCCCTGAACGCATGTCCCACCTGGTCCCCAGGAGCTCGCAAGGTGGGGGAGCTGGGGATCTCTCACAGGCCCTTTGCCCACCCCAAGGCCTCCTGGCCTCCAGCCTAAAGCCCACCCACATAGCTTCTCGACTACCAAGGGGGATGCCTGGGCCCTGCTAAAAGCCTGCAGGGATTTTTGGGGTACAAGGGGAACCTCCATTCATATGAGGATATAGGGACCCCAGCTTCTTCCACCATCCGATGGTCCCACCCCTCCCACTCTGCTTCTCCAGACTGGGACCCCACCCGGTGTCCACGCATGTCCCCATCTACCGAAGCCCTCGGTCCCCACAGCCCAGCTTGGATGCTGTCGCCTCCAGGAAGCCTCCCTGGCCCCACATCAGCTGCAAGGCCTCCCTGCCCAGCACCCTCCAGAGCTCTCCCCCTGCCTCTCACGTCGCACCTGGGTGTGTCCATGTCTGACCCCCCACACAATGGGAGCTCCCCGGTGGGGCCCGCGCCTGACAATTCTCGGGTCCCAGGAGCTGTGCCTGAGCTTCCTGGTTGATTCCAGAAGCCTCACCTGGGATGAGAATGAGCCTGACTTTGAGGCCCAGGACAGAGCTGGGGCGGGGACTTGGGGGGACTGGGAGAGAATGAGGACACCCCCTCATCTTGCATGTAAACTCGAGCAAGGGAGGTCCAGAGGCGGTGACTGGCCCACTGCCCCAGGTCCTTGATGGACACGTGGCCCAGGCTGGGCTGCTGCTCGGGGCATCCGTATTCCTCCGGCAGCCGCCAGCATTCTGGGGGGCACGGGGGCACCGGGCAGCACGGACTCTGCGTCCTCCTGGCCTCCGGCCTGGCTGTGCTCCTGACCCGCATCCCAGCCTCAGGCCGTGCCCGCCCCCACCTGAGCAGAGCCCCGGAGAACGAGAGGCCGCTCTGGGGGACACTTACCAGGTTCACCAGCGGGCCCCCGGAGTTCCCATACTGCAGGGGGAGGAAACGCAACGTCAGTCGAGCCCTGAGCCCCCACCCCAGCGCTCCCGACCATCCTAACAGCACGGAGGCCTGGCCACGTTTGTCGCCAGCAGCCTGGGCGGGCCTCGCCGCCACCCATGTCACGGAGGAGAGAGCTCGCGGACGCCATCTGAGGAGCGCGTCTGACCCGGGCGGTGCTCTGCACAGACCTCCAGGCTCACCCAGGCTCACGCCGTGCTTCTGCACCGACAGGCCGGGCGGCATGGGGTGGCCGCGGACGGAACACGACTTCTCACCCTCGACCGCGAGGAGCGCCAACAGACAAGCATTTCCAGCAGGGAGCCAGGCCAGAGAGAGGCGGCGCTGGGGCGTCTGGGCGGGGTTCTTTGTGGATGCAAAAGGTGCCACGCAAGCCCAGCCGGTGTGGCTCAGTGGACTGAGCAACGCCCCATGCTCTGAGAGGTCCCGGTTCGATTCCCGGTCAGGGCACATGCCCAGGTTGCGGGCTCCATCCCCAGTGGGGGGCATGCAGGAGGCGGCCTGTTGACGGTTCTCTCACACCGATGTTTCTATCTCTCTCTCCCTTCCTCTCTCCCTAAAAATTCAGTAATTTTTCCTAAAAATTCACCTTTTTAAAGAGGTGCCATTCAATATACCATTACTAATAAAAACATTCTGAGCGGGGTGTATAATTTGGGATAAGAGGTTTCAGGAGCATGACTGTGTCTTACACCCGGAGGGCTGTCCCCAGCCGGGGCAGCAGCCCCTACCGCCAGGCAGGCCTCACCATGGGCTTTCTAGCAAGTGGACGTGTCGCCTGAGGGGGTGGGCTCTGGGGACAGGGGACGAGCCCCACTGGAGACCGCGGGGAGAACTCACGTTGATGATGGCGTCCGTCTGGATGTAGTCCATGTCCGAGTCCCGCAGGCCCAGCTCCTTGCCGTCCCGCTGGGCCGTGCTGACGATGCCCGTGGTCACCGTGTTCTGCAGGGCAAAGGGGCTGCCGATGGCCACCACAAACTCGCCGGGCCGCAGGTCTGCCGAGTGGCCCAGCAGCAGAGCCGGGAGCTTTTTCTGCGAGGTGGAGGGGAGGACACAGGAGGGAGGCTCAGCGGTCCATCTTTGCTCAAGACCACAGCCGGATTGTGGCGCGGCCCCCGCAGGGTGGTCGCACGGCAGCTGGACAGAGCCATCGGGTGAAAACCAAGGCAAGTCGCCCATGTGGACCAAGGCTAGCTGGCCTCCAGCTGACCCGTGGTGCATAAGAGAGACCCAGGCTGGCACCCATGGAGCAGAGGTTTGGCCCCCCCTGCGACCACAGGTCTCCCAGGGGTCATCATGAGAACGCACAGAGGGCCCATCAAGTCTCTGAGACCATCAAGCCCACTGGTTGGCCACGGGTCCCTCTGGGGCCTGGCTGGGGACGTGTGAACCCGCTATGGAGTCCTTGACCCAGCTGAACCTGATCTCCCAGTGTAGACACATGGGGAAACCAAAGCCAGAGAGATAAAGCGGCCTAACCGAGCTCCGCCACCCCCGAGCACTGAGACACCCACACACTGCATGGGGCCACGGAGCCTGTCCCTGCGTAAGGACAAACAGACAGGGGCCTCTGAAGTTGCCAGGAGCGTGCCCAGTGGGGGTGCTGAGCGGGCACCCCCATGCATGTGGACGGGCACAGCCTGGAGCTCTGCCCTCTGCACCCCCATCGGCTCCCGATTCTGGTGTTGCGCCCCATGCTGGCTTTCACTACTGGGGAGCTGGGCATGGGGACCTCTGCAGCTTTAGTGGGTCTGGAAATCTTTCCGGACAAAAAGCTCTATAAGAAGGTGCTGGAGACAGCTGTGCCCTGATCACGGGGACCTCAGTGCAGCCCTGGAGACCGGTGGGCAGGACCCCTCACCACGGACCCTCTGGGCTGCCCGTCACATTTCCTCCAGACGGTAGTTCCCCTTCTACCTGTGCGCCACCGTGTCAGACGAGGGCTTTCCCTTTGAGGGGGCCTTCGCAGCTGCTGGGGGCCAGTGTGGAGGGGGAGGGACAGGACCTATGTCCCTCGGCACAGCCGCACCCCTGCAGTGGGCCCGGGAGGGTCAAAGTGTCCCTGGGCCTGGGAGGACCCTGTCTGGCAGGGACTGGGCGGTGCGGTTCTTGGCCAGCGGGAGGCAGCCTCACTCTCGTCTGACTTGACCCGTAACCGGTCCCTCCAACTGCCCTTGGGACACTCGGGCGGCCGAGTGTCTGAGCTCTAGCGTTTGGAGAGGCCCCTCCAGGCTGCCAGCCCTGCCAGCCCCGCCGCCCACTCACTTTGGGGTGGATCTTGATGGTGGCGATGTCCGACTTCTTGTCAATGTCTTTGATGGTGGCCTCGTAGGTGTCGCCATTCTGCAGCTGCACCTTGAGCTGCTGCCGGCCCGAGACGGCGTTGGAGCTGGACACCACGTGGGCGTTGGTGACAATCAGGCCGGCCTCCGACATGACGAAGCCCGAGCCGCTGGAGAGGGGCACGTTGCGGCCGAACAGCGGGTGTCTGCGGGGAGGGCACAGGGCGTTCAGGGCTCGGGGACGCCGAGGCAGTGTCGGGGGAGAGAACGCAAGTCCAGGGCCCCCGCGCCCACGTCCAAATCCCCGCTCTGCCACCTGCTGGCTGAGGCCTTGGCCAGGTCACTAGTCTGACCCATTCCACAGCCGTAAGGAGGGCAATAAGTCCTGCCTTGCAATTTGCCAGCCGAGACACGAGGCCGTAAATATCAGACCCCCGATGACACAGTGGCTCGCTGCTCTGGCGACAGGACGTGGGAGCCAGATGGACTGGATTCCAGTCTCAATCAGTCCCCTCTCATCTGCCTGACCGGGTGGTTCACCGCTCTGAGCCTCGGTCTCCCCGCCGCACGCCTGCTCGCGAGCCAAGGCCTGTGGTGCCTGGAGGCAGGCGGTTCTGCATAGACAGGGCTGTGGCTGCCGGGGTCGGAGGGCACCAACGTGCACACAGCGCTGGACGGTCACAGCGGGTCCCTGGGAGGGTCCGTTTCCCGACCTCTGACTGCAGAGCGTCAGCACTGAGATGGGGGCGTGCTCTCCCCTCCGGCCAGCGGCCTGGGAGCCCCAGATGGTGGGCCAGGCAGGGGGCGGGCAGGCTTCACACCCTCGGGGACACGGGGACACGGAGCACCAGCGTGGCAGGGCAGGGCTCCGAGACACAAGGTGATGTCTGGCCTGCCTCAGCCTCTGTCACGGGGGATCGAATGGGCCATGCAGCTGGTGCGGGGTCCGGGGTCAGTGTTCACTGATGGGCGCCAGGCCCAGCCCTGCCCAGAGCGCTCTGAGTGGGGCAGCCCAGCCCCGAACGGGAGGGAGGCAGGATGCCCACACAGCTCAGGGCGTCCTGCAGGCGGGGGCCTCTGGGACCCCATGGAGAGGCTGGAGCAGGTGCTCAGGACCCGGGCGGCTTTGCAGAAGTGTGTGAGTGACATGGGCCTGACGGGGCCCAAACGGGGAGAGAAAGGAGGGCGGGACTCTCTCAGGAAGTGACTCCGGGCTGAAGAGGCCCCATGACAACAGCTAGTGTCCCCAAGCACACCCTCTGAGCCGGGGATGAAGCCACCTGGTGCTCGTGGTAGGTGCCCCAACGGTAGTAGATCTCCGGTTCACAGGTGGGGAAACAGGTCCAGAGACATGGACCACTCACCTGGGTCAGGCAGAAAGGGGCAAGGGCAGGGGCTGGAGGCTGGCATCCTGGGTACCCAGGTAACCACAGCCGGGCGCCTGGCGTCGGAGCCTGTCCCACCTGACGTGGATAGGATCTGTGTCTGTCTGCGGAAGGGCCCCAGGCAGCCAGGGGCCTCCTGGCCGGGTCGGGTCATGGCAAAGCCTTGCCCTTCTCCGTCATCACCTCATCTGTCCCTCAGATCTCGTCCACCTGGCCTCGCCCGCTCACCCACCCCTCGGACATCCGCCTCTGAGGATGGCAGGAGACACGGCCGCCAGCCTGGCTGGGCTGCAGTCAGCAATTAGCTGGCTCCGGGCCCGGGCCCTGGGCCTTCTGGGGAGGCCACCTGCAGGGCCACCACTTAGCACAGTGCCACTTAGCACGTCCAGTGGTAATTTCCTCGGGGACACGCGTTGGGTCTGGATGCACAGAAGGGCAGCGAGGGGTCAGGGTGTTGCAGGGCCGGGCTCAGCTCCGAGGTGTGGGGTACCCGAGGCCACACTGGCTGGCACCTGGCCGCTCCGTGAGCCTGGGGACGTGTCTAGGCCTCCGCTCCCACAGGCAGGAAGTGGGAACGGGACAGCCTACCTCGGGGGGTCACGGGAAGATGCCGTGGTGACAGGGGAAGGGACTTGGGGTGCAGGCAGTGAGGGGTGGCCCGGGTCTGGCTCTCTCATCTAAGAGGTGGGTGTGCACCAGGGCTGCTTCAGGCCAAGCAGCTACCACGGTGCGGGCACACAGGTGTCCACGGTAGTGTCATTCTGACAGTGCTGGGCTCACACCTGTCATCTGCGCGTCCTCATGGACCGTCGGTGGTGAGCACAGTCCCTGCCCTCCAGAGACAGGGCAGAGTGATACCCAGGGACCAGGGCTCCCACTGCAAGTGTGCCCAGTGAGCCGGGGACCCTGTGCGGGGGCCAGGGGTCATGGTCATCCATTCTCTAGGCCCCTCTAGAATGTAAACACGTAGTAGCTGCTCACTAAAACTGGTTGCTAGAATGAATGCAAAGAACCACGGCTACGGCCCACCGCCTGCCGGCCCGGCACCCACAGCCCTGTGAGGTTCCAGGTGGCTGTCCAGCGCCCTAGAGAGGGAAGCAGAGTCGGAGAGGGACAGCCTTCCCAAGAGCACACAGCAGCCGGGAGTCTGGCTGAGGTGCCCCCGACCCACTCTGACGCCCGCTGCCCCAGGGCTAGAACGGAACCCAGCTTGGGCCCCAGCCAGCGGAGGGGACACCTCGGCGCGGCAGGGGCTCGACACACCTCAGGAAGAGCTCGATGTGGACCACGGCGGGCGCGATCTTCTCCACCACATCGGCGATGAAGTTGAACTTGTACCGCGGGCTGGTCAGCTGGTGGAGACCTACACTGGCAGGGAGAACCCGGTGCATTAGCGAGTCCCGGACACGGCCAGAACCTGCCAGGGTGGGGGAGGAGGAGGCTCCACCGGAGAGCCCCGCTGGGCTCAGAGCGCTTCGGGGACACCCAGACCCTGGGCGCGGGGCTCTCTCACCCCAAGAACTGTTCATGCTGAGCTTCCTCGCATCACCTCTCCGGAAGCTGCCCAGCCAGCCAGGAGGTTCAGAGAGGTTAGGACCCTTGCTCTGGGCTGCACAGCAGAGAGGTGCCGCTCAGGCTGGATCTGGGCTGGTCACCCTAGGACTAGTTTTCTGTCGTCCACCAGGCCGTGGGCTAGTGCAGGGACTGGATAAGGGCACAGAGGGCCCTGACGTCCTGCCTCCTGAGCTGCCCCCACTGGCCACAGGGTGGCCCCTCCTGGGCCCATCGGCATGCACTTGGCCACGCCCCAGCTTGCCTTGCCAGGAGGCTTGCAAACTTCTCTGGAACCTTCCCCAGCTCAGATTTCTGCTGCCCGCTGGGACCACAAGCTGGAGGATGTTGGTGGCACCGGGCCAGACCCTCGGTCCCCTGCTCAGCCACGTGCCGAGCTCGCCCAGTCCCGCCAGAGACGGGTGCTGTCTGGAACCCGAGCCGCCCAGCGCTGCCTCCGCCCCGAATGGGCCTTGGGAAGTGAGCTCCGCACACCGGGCTTGGCTGGGCGGTGCCACTACCCAGCTGTGTGCCTCCAGGCAAACCACATGCCCTCTCTGGGCCTTGACTCCTGGTCTAAAGAGGAGCCGGAAGACCTCCTACCCGTGGGAACTGGGTGTGAATGTGACTTGTACTCAGAGAAGCTCCGTGCCCCCTGCCCGGGGAGGCCACCACCCAGCCTGTGGCCCGGCCTGGAGTCCAGTGTGGCAGCTGCTGTTGCTCTTGATGGCCTCTGGGAGTGCCTGAGCCTCGGGGTCCAGAGGAAGCCTGGTTTTCCGGGTTGTCCAGAGGGGGCGGGGACCCGAGCGCAGCCAGGGGAGCAGGCACAGGCCCGCAGTCCTGCCCATAAACCCTGTGGCCAATCCGCTCCCTCCCCACATCCGACTAATGTCCCAGAGCAACCCGGCAATGCCTGCCCCCTGCAAAGAGGGGAAACTGAGGCCCAGTGAGCAGAACCCGTTTGCCCAACACACATCTAGTGAGAAGAGAACCAGGCTCCCCTCGCCTCCGCCACCCCGTGCCCCCCAAGGCCCAGGCTGGGACTCAGGGCCCAGAGGAGAGCAGGCCTCAGAGTCTGTGGTCGGGGTGGTGCGCAGGGCCCGCCGCACGGAGGCTCCACCTGCTGTGGGCAGCCAGAATCAAAGGCCACCTGTCCAGGGTGACCAGAGCCTGGCTGGGAGACAGGGCTGTTGCCAGGCATGCGGGCTCCTCGGTGATCAAGCAGTGGCAGCCAGGGGCCACGGCGCCCAGAGCCCCCTGCCTAGAGGCAAGGCCCTGGCGGGCGGGTCTGAGGTCCAGCGGCCAGCCCGGGAGCAGGGCCCACGCTGGGCCCACACGCATGTGCCCACGCAGCATGGGGATCCTCCAGTGGCCTTGGAGGGGCAGCTGCCTGTCCAACAGCCTCTCTCCGTCCACCCACCCCCAGGCCCTGGGAACGGACTCACGCTCCAGCCTCCGAGCAGAGGGACGGGAACCAGCCACAGAACCTGCTCCCTGTCCAGGTTCTGCCCCCAAGACGGCCTCCACCCGGCAACCCCCAAGGCCTGGGCCCTGGGCGAGGACCCCCAAACCGGCTGGCCGGCGGGGGTGATTTGGCCAGGTCTGCAGCTCTCCCGAGGCTCATGCTGTGCAGGGTGGGCAGTCCTGAGGGAGGCCAGGTGTCAGCCCTCTTCACTGTCACCTGTTGGCCACTTACCCGTTTCTGCTCCACCACCCACCGCTCTGCCTCCACCTGGAAGAACTGCGCCCCACTTCTCCCTACCAAATGCTCCAGCTCAAATCCCACCTCCTCCAGGCAGCCCTCCAGCAGACTCCTCCCAGTCGGAACGAGTGTCTCCCTGCTGGGGGCTCTCAGCACAACGCTTCACCCACAGCACTGGCTCCCACGTGCAGCCTGTGCTGTACAGGCCCGTGACCAAGCACACAGCACAGCGTGACCAGTGACGGGGCAGAGGGACACCCAAGGGTGCCCCTGATACAGGCTGGAGCAGCACAGGGGCCGGGGAACAGCGCATACAAAGGCAGCGCTGCGCACGAAGGTTGCTACCGACGGGGGTGGCTGACTCCAAACTGGGCCCTGTGGCACAACACAAGAGAAGGGCACGCTGACCAGAAAGTGCCGCGTGGCCACACGCCTGGCCCTAGGGCACAGAGGCTCCACGGCGTCCACCCCCGCTGGCCTGACCTCGGTCCTGCGTGTCCAGCGGCTGAGGTCCTGACCGGATGCCCGGAACCAGACGGCACTTCGAACGGGCGACGCGCACCCTCACACACCAGCCTCTGTAAACGGCCCCGTGGTGAAGGCAGGAACCCACCACTCCCCCACGGTGGAGCCTTGGCCGGGGGGCTCCGTTGGCTGGAGCATCGTCCCACACACTGAAAAGTTGTGGGTTCAATTCCGGGTCAGGGCCCATACCTAGGTTTCGGGTTCAATCCCTGGTCTGGGTGCGGACGGGAGGCAACTCATCGACGTCTCTCTCTCTCTCTCTCCCCCTCCCTCCCTTCCTCTCTCTCAAATCAATAAAATATCATCGGGTGAGGGCAGAAAAAAATTTCACGGTGGATATTCGGGGGCAGGGAGGAGTCATGAGCGATTCTGTCTTTCACGGACTTTCCACATTTCCTTCTATAGGCAAATCTACACAGATGATCTGCAAAGACAGAGAGGGAGGGAGGAGGGCCGGGCGGAGGCTGGGAGCTGGGCGGGGGCGGGAACAGGACCCGCGGGCACCGTGGCACCTGCCCGTCTGCTGGGCAGGGCCGTGCAGCTTGGAGGCGACAGGAGCCCCTGGGAGAAGCATCTCCTGGACGGAGACACGCTGGCTCTCCCCCGAGGCACAGCAAGGCCCCGGAGCCTCTGAAAACACTGGGGGGGGGGGGGAGGCAGGGAGCGAGGGAGGGAGGGCAGGATGCCCCCCGGACCCTGGACCCAGCGGGTCTGTAAACACCACCACAAAACCACCGTCAGCCTGTTGACCAGGCCTCGCGGAGCAGCCTCCCAACAGTAGCATCGGGGCCTACTTTACATCCAGGAAACAGGCTGGAGGTGCAGAGTGTCGGGGCAGGCCCGGCATTGCCCCCCGGTTCCATGGACCTCAGAGCCTGCGCCTTCCCAGACCCAGGACCTGGAGCAGCCCTTTGGGGCTCCGGGGTCAGCCGGCTGGTGACAGGGGCTCTGCCAGGCCCTGTCCCTTTAAGCCGAGGGTGGGGAGAGTTGGGGGGGGGGCAGAGCCTGGTTCCTGTCCTCCTCCCCCCAGAGATGAATCACCCCGTGAATCAGTGGGAAGGGAGGGCTCTGTTCCCACCACCACTCTCCACATGAAGACCTTGGGCCCCATAGCTGGCTGGGAAGCAGACTGTTTGTTTATTTGGGGGTTTGGACAACCCCACCCCCACCCCGTCCTCAAGCCAAGATTCTGAAGTCAACCAGATTCAGCTGTTAGCATTTTTTTCCTTTTTTCAAAAATAAACTAGCCGCAGGCGTTGGGCGTCTCTGTCTGGGGAACGTGACACAGAAGAGCCCTCGGGCCAGGTGTCCCGAGGTGCCTCCGGGGCGCAAAGGGCACAGCCAGGACGGAGGGCAGACGGGCTCGGACTCCACCTGCCGGGCAGGGCGCACAGGGGCAGCGCAGACCCCGAGCAGGACCCCGTGCCAGCCCTGGCCAGTCACGACGGCCACGGAACAGATGGGGAAACTGAGGCGGCACCCCTCAGGTCCACGCGCGGGGCTGCACCGACCAGCACCGCCCCTGAGAGGCCGCTGCCTGCCCGAGGGAGCCAAGCCAGCTCCCAGGTCCCTGTCCCCTCCGCTGCCCCTGTCACCCAGTGCTTAGCCGTGACCAGAGGACGCAGCGGCCACTGCGGATGACCACGAGGTCCCAGGCTGTGCCCATCTGTCCCTAATACTGACCACAGCCTGCAGACCAGACGGCAACTTCTCAGCAGTGACTCCAAGCACCTGGGTGTCCAGGCCCCTTTAATCCCGAGCCTCATCCACCGCCACTCTGGCTGAGCTCGGCTCTGCTCCCCTGAGCACACAGGGTCCTGGGCCCACCCTCGAGGCCCAGGGCAACGCACCTCGGGGAGCTCGCCCTGCCCGACTCAGCAGGCTCGGTGACCAGCTCTCCCCGCCGGGCCCTGCGTGCTCCTGGAACTGCCCCGTGGCCCGAGCGCCCCAACCCCCAGCAGAGAGCAGGGAGCGAGAAGAAGCGATGAGAGGGTGAGTGAGGGGCGCATGTGTGCTCTCCAGGGACAGACGAGCGGTGCCAGGCCCCCTCGGCCCCGGCCCCATCCCTGCCCCCACAAAAGGCCAGCTGTGAAGCCCCAGGAACTTCCTCCCTGTCTAACTAGTTCCCAGACAGTCCTGTTTTCTTTTCCCTTGAACCCTCCCCGTGCCCCGTGAACCTTCTCCCCCCAGGCAAGGACAGGGTCCTCAGACCCCACTGCAGCTGGGGACGGGGGCAGGCCTGCCGTCTTCCACCTCCGGCCGGGTCCTGTCCCGGGCACCGCAGCTGGGCTGGCCCTTATGGCTTCAGTGAGCTCTCCCAGCAGTTCTGCAAGGTGGAGTCGTCAGCCCATTACTCAGGCGAAGAAAAAGGCCTGGAGAGGTCATGAGACATGAGCCGGCCAAGGCCCACAGCCCTTGACCCCTGCCCCAGGCTCTTCCCCACTCCTGCTGGTCCTGGGCCAGTGGGACTGGCTGCCCGCCCCAGGGGTGCTCCGCCTCAGCTGGTCCTGGGCTTGGGGCCAGCCGGGCTCTGGCTCCGGATCCCGCTGGGTGCAGCCAGCCCTGCCAAGGAGCAGGCTCTGCCA